GTCATCTTCTTCACCAACCCTAACGCTCCTTCGACGTCGACGGCGATGAACAACCAACAACCAATAGCCACACCAACTTAACACCAGTCGACAGCGCCAAGAACAACCAGTTGATGGTGCCACGAACAGCCACACCAAGAACAACCACCGATTACACCACAGAAGCAGAAACAGAATCAGTAGCCACCACTAAAACCAGATACCAAAAGCCACCGCGAAGCAAAACTAGAAGCCACCAACGTCGACCACACCAGTCGACGGTGCCAAGAACAACCAGCGACTACCAGCACCACTAGATGCGATGAACAGCACCACACAACCGCAAACTAGAAGAGTTAATATTTGTATTGTTTTGGCTCTGATACCATATTAAATTGAGGGAATTAACACAATATTAGAGAATACAATATTAGAGAGAAACAGAGAGGGTCAAAACTTAACCTACCTCTCATACATCACTTGTATTTATAGTTAAGTTACAATAATCAGAAAGACAAATACACGCTCTTATATTTACACATCATACCCTAATACTCTTAACATTACACATAATACCCTAATACTCTTAACAAATCTCATGTCTGCAAACTGAGGAAGTTAGTGTATGAACTGAAACAATCGCCAAGACAATGGTACAAGAGATTTGACACGTTCATGTTAAAGTAAAGCTACACGAGAAATGAGTATGACCACTGCCTGTACTTTAAGAAGCTACCAGATGGTTCTTTTGTCTATAGCAAGCAAAGCCCTTTTTTTGTATGAAAGGACGGAGGCTAAACTGGTGCCACTTGAAACGCCAACAAAACGATCTCAAAGGCTTCGAAGGTTGAGTCAAGTTTTGCCCTGCCTATCATCGGTACCCTGCGATCGCACGACAAATAATTTTAAGTAATATGGGTCTAATTCAAAGTATAGATCCCGGTTCAGGTTGATTCGTTGTACTACTTTAATCATATTTCGATGACAGGCGGTTAACCATAAGTAAATGAACTAGATCGATTAGGTACGGTCCGACGTAAGTAAGTGGGGAGAGTCTTTATCAACAAAGTGGTCTCATAGCACTTCCCTTGAATTTAGTCAAGCAAGGCACAACGTTGATACATAGTGATGGGACTCTTCTGAAAAAGCCTATGATGAAGACACGCGTCCTCGGGGGGGTTCTAGGACAATGTTGCTCGGGTTCAAGCACCATCGGCAAAAGCGTCCTCTCCCCCGAGGTACCTCTCATACAGGATCACATATTCGGTACATTATACAATGACATGTGTCCTCGGTCACCATGTACCTCGGGAACACACCACCCCTTGGTCCCCCGAGGTGAGCCTTTCCTCGGCGCCGAGGGTCACTCCATCCTGGACGCTTCCTCTACTCCCGGATAAAGTTACTGACGTACGGGACATCAGCCTATGCCAGTCTAGACTATTCATCATGACCCCGTCTTACACAAGTAATGTCAGAACATGCTGGAATACAGAAGTCATAGCCAATACGTGACGGACGCGTGGCATATGATATCACATCAAAAACAGGCAAACCGCACGCTGTTGCTGACATGCGCTTTGGGAAGCAAACAATTAATTGCGCCCTTCTGTTGACGAGACCGCATTCAATGCGGTAAGGTTCGGATATGAAAGGCAATAAATGCTCCTATTACGGAGCATTTATTACATCCTTCCCGAAAGGAGCATATTGTACCGTCGGCGTCCCGACGACTCAACATTGATTGCTCGGGATCCCGAGCAGTCAATTAGAGAAGACATTCCTCGTCAAATCAATACACACGCTGCCAGTGCCTGATGATCACCTACTGACCACACTGACAGCAATCATGAGCTTTTAAGGTATAAATACTCCTCCCAAAAGGCAAAGCGGGTATGCAATCACAAACTCTCTACTACGAAATATCCTTCTCAGTATTTTCTCCTTCCTCTCTCTCTCATTCAAAGACTGACTAGACCGTCGGAGGGGATACGCCGGAAAACACTCCGGCGCCCTTCTAACTTGTTCCCTTTTGTCCCAGGAAATACCTTTCGCACGTACAGGATCGGTCCTCCTTTCCCAGGATCGTAAGCTGTTTCGAGCGGTGTGTTTGGCCACTCAATCGGCTCACCCAAAGTTCACCAGGGGAGAGATCTGTTCCCAATATTTTATATATATCGTGCAGGATCAAGCCCGCACACATAGTTCATTGATCAATAAACCATGTTACAAATTTAGCTAAGCAACTAGTTAGTTTATTCAAGACTGCCCTGCTACAACCTAGGGATCATCTAGTGAATGTTCTCGGGCAAGCATTAAGAAGTACTCGTGTATTCCACTCTACCTCGGGAAGATAAGTTTGCCAAGTTGGAGATATGTGTATAAAGGCAAAAAGAGAAAACGGGAAAGATGGCCGAGTTTCAACAACTGAACCTAGCCCAAGGGAATTTAAGCGAATAAGGGGGGTAGTTGGCTCGTAAGCTCAAATTCTAAAATCATTGATAAAGGTTGAAAAAGAAAAAAGAACGACTTTTTAGGCAGGTTGAACATGCTTAAATTCTAAAATCATCGATAAGGGTCATGATACCGATCAAACATTTGATTTGATTTTATGTCTGAAATTGACATACATCTATCCAAGTAGTGTTCAAGATTCATATCAAAAGGCTCGAGAGACCTCTATCTAATAAGGGAGTACTAGGGTTGGTTTTCAACCCCTTAGTGATCTTTTTTGTCTTGTTTCCCGCTCCTCTAGTAGGATAATGAAATCGAATTAGGTTAGCTCTTTCTAGTCGGCCCCCTAAGCCTAATTCCTAAAATAATGGAACTGTATTCGCTAGCCTTTCAACCATCGACACATCTGTTCCTTGCTAGCCATAGGTTGTCAGGCCACTTAATTCAACAACAACCATATCAATTCAACATTGAAAAATTTATTGGCCATTTGTAGGAAAGTTATGTGCAAAATTTCATGCGCTTTCTATCAATGTTACGGAACATAATATCACTCTAGCTGTCCAAGATTCTTTTGAAATAATTATTAAACTCCTCGCCTAATTACTCAATTTCAGGAAGAAAAAAAAACTAAAAAATAAAAATGTCAAGTTCCTATTATCATGGAAATGGACTATAATTGCAGCTAAGATCTATATCATACATAGTCTTCATTAGAAGAGATTCATCTACATTCTTTCGGTGAGTTTAACACTGAGAAGGTCCAAACAACAGCCGTGAGCAAGAGAATTCGATATATATTGGATCCAACAAACTTTGCCACAATCAAATCAAATCAAAACATTAGACTACATAAACTTGTACACACAATCTGTTTCACACTCCTGTTAACATGTGCACTCGATTACTAATACACATTGTAGATCAAACTGTGGACATTGAAATCGATCAAGGAATAACAACAGGAGCATAAATGTATGAGTATGAAGTAGATTTATCAGAGAGAGGGGAAAGAGAGAATGCTTACTGGTGGTCTTGGAGAAGACGGCGAGTCGGAGAGCCCATATATCGAAGAAACCAAACCAAACTGACGCCAATCGAAGTGAGCCCACGAGCATCAACCACCACCCCAACGGCTTCATTTTCTCTCTCTCTCTCTCTCTACTGTGTTTGTGGTTTCCTTGTTTTGACTTTTGAGGACTTCTACTGCACAAGGTTGTGGGCTTTAGTTGGGCTTGCTATCAACAAAACCCAGCCACAAAGGAACAGCCAGGGCCATAATTCTTCTTAAACCCAAATATTTATTTTTCAATTGAAAAGTGTTTATTTAAAAGGAATGCTGTTTAGACCATAAAAACTTGACCTAATTTTCTACCATGATAATATGTAAAGTGATGGAGTCGTAACAAAAAAGTCAAAGAATTAAAGTCACCACAACACTATTATTGTACCATGTCACAACTACGTTATTAGGTTAACAAATTAGTTTAAATTTTTAGATTCAAAAAACACTACTCTTTATTTAAAAGATGATAAAGTTGAATGTAAAATAAAGTAAAATATGATCTTTAAAAATAAATATAATCTAATTGTTGATGATTTAAGTAAAAATTTGAATCTACTTTAATTTAAATAAAAATTTAGGTCTTTTCATATTTAACACCGGTTCAAGTTTATTTTTGCTCAAATATATTTACACAAGGAGGGCACACTCTTAGACTTTTTTATTTATTGGATTTGGGGTAGTTTGAAAGAAGAGAGTCAAATTTACCCGACAGGGATGGAGATTAAAATTTTTCCAGCTAATAAAGGATGAATTGGGATAGACGAATATTTTTGAAGCGGATATGGGAGTGGAGACTACTCCTCCATCCCTAGTCAAAACCTTGTAATCCCTAATAAAATATTATATCTACCAGATCACATCTCAATCCCGCCCAATTGCTCCTATCTACAATTAAACAAATATGGGTAAAGATTTAATTGGTTAATAGGTAATATAGTCATTTACAAGACAAAATGTATGGTAATAATGGTGATAAATTATATGTATTTGTTACTTACTATGAATAAAATCTATATAATAAAATACATAGAAAATTAAATTTTATCTTCAATACATTCCCTCCTTCCAACAAAATCATATTACTCATTTCTATCACATGTTTAAATATTTAATATTTGATTAATTTGTAGTTTAACATAATTTTTAGTTCAGATATTATCTATACACGATAGTATACTTATGTTGAAAAATTTTTATCGAATTACATATTTTAAAATAAATTTGTCAATATTTTTAAAAAAATAATGAGTAAAAATAAAATTTGAATGATGTAATCAAAGAAATGAAAAAAAAAATTATTTAATATAGTGAGATCGATTTTTTTGAATTCAAATTTATATTTTATCGTACATTTAAACACAAGTTATAACTAGTTCATCTATAAATTTCATGGAAACAAAAGTGAGAGTTATGTTTGGAAAAATTTGATAAAACCAATTCAAAGGTCCGTAATCCAAAACCATCCAAAAATGCCCTTAATGGGAACTGGGAAGTTGAGCATAGAGGATAACGTCCGTAATCCAAATCAAAGGGCCAAACACTTTTTATTTTATCTTCACACTCGAAGAGTGGAAGTCTCAAACGTCTAAGCATTCTTGTGAAGAAAAATGTCGGCTTCAGCTCTATTTTGCTTGAGAATGGTGGTGGTGCCTATCCATTATTCTCTCTCCTCGTCCAGTGTCGGCGGTGGTGCGACCAAGGTAGCACCAGGAGTGGGCGGCAGCGTTGGTGGCGTCAGGGTAGTGATAGAGTCCTCATCGCGGCCACAGAAGAAGGCAACGAAACACCACATGAAGACGCGACCCCGCAAGTCTCAGGCTTGGGACATTCGACATGGGCCCACCGGTTACCCTCCTCTTCCTCTGCTTCCTCCTGAGTGGGCTCTCGTCACGGATGATGCTGTTGCTGAAACTGTTGTTTCTTCTCCTCCACAGCTGCCCAAGACCACCCAGTAGTAATCGTTTATTATGCCAATAGTTTTTTCAATGCGTTTTATTTCTGACTTTGTTTGATGGTATCTTTGTTGCTCATGATTATGCCCACTTTGGATATCGGTTCTGTTGATTGAAGAAGTTAAATGAATTGCAGTTAGAAAAAGTTCTGGAGGCGGTATGCCTTTTTCTGTATGTAATCTGTCTATGTCCGATACCAATTCGATGATAATCCTGAATGAAATGAGAAGGCTAGAACTCTTGTTAGCATAGCAATTCCCGCTATGCATAAAAAAGAGCAAGACATGGTAGACATTGTTCTTCATAAAACGTGGTAGACGTGGTGGATTGTACTTGTAGGTCGTGGGGGGAACTTCTATTACCAGATCAAGCCTTCCAAATCAAACTAAGCTATAACAATTGTTATTGACAATCCCCTACAAGCCTGCTTATTGTGAACAAAGAGTTCCTCCACACTAGAAATAATCAATAAATCCTCAAATGCTTCTTTATTCTGTTGTCATGGAAAAGGTTCAAAATTGTAACAAAATGAGCCATAAAATCAAATATTCTAAATTCGAATCTAGATAAGTCCTTAAAACCAGATTATAAAAAATTTAACCTTCTTAAATATCTTAGTCTTTGCGTAGATGACTTGACTTTAATCGAACTTAATAGAGAATTAGATGTGATAAATTGGTCCAGACATCCCTGACCGTTGAATCAAAAAAGAAAAAAGAAAAGGTTTAAGTAGGAAGAACTCTTAGATTATCAAGATCCTCTCATCCCACATTTTTCAGCTTCTATATCATATGGCGCAAGTCATCATCGTTTTGAGGAACAATGTTCCATAGTGCAGCATCAATACCAACAAGAACAAAAACCAAATGATCGACAAGGATGACATGCAGGCCTTCAAACACTAGCAAAGAATGTACAAGATCAACCACACAAGATGTACAAGGTGTCTTGCACAGCCTGTGGCTTTTATGTACAAGTTAGAGGGAAATCGGCCACACAAATCAAACGCCTACAACAGCCAGCTGTGTGATTCCATCAACTATTTACAGCATACAATGAAATGTAGAAAACCAAAAGAACCAAATATAAAAAATATACAAGACAGTTGAAATGAAACTGGAAGCCTAGGTGAAACTGTTCACACCCTGGTTGCTTCAAAAGTGGCCGAGTTTTCCCATGGCCAGCAGTATTGGGTCTTACTTGCACTTCCACAATTATTCAAAGCCCCCATATGATGCATAGATTCATCTGTATGAACTTGTTTCGGTGGAATAAAAATATAAAGTTTATCTTCCACATCGCATATCCCTTAATCTCTTCAGCATTTACAAGATGGGCGCTTCTACTTGCCTTTAACCAGGTTCAGGAGAAAGTCAGTAAATATGTGCTCATATTCTGGCATTTTCCCATACCCTGCAATAGATACTCGAACCATGTAAAAATAAGGTTACACGTTCAAAAGATTAAACACAGTTATATTCTCGTAAACAAGGTGGAGGTAAAATCACAGTGCATGTGGGCAAGCCTAGAGGCCGATGTTTCTCAGAGAAGTTAAGGAAGTAGGTATATCAAAACTACAGAGAGATGTAATATACCAACTTCCTTAACTTCTCTGAGAAACATCGGCCTACAAGTTAAGGAATGTATCTTAAAACTACAGGAAGATATTTAACAAAAACTACAGAGAGACAATAGTCAACCACTGAACAAGAAGATATTAGATTATATGAGTTTTATATGAGTTTTCCCTTACCAGGAAAATAGTTGATGTCTATGACATAATAGTGGTCTCGGGTTCCATGCTCTCGAATCATATCTAAGTTGAAAAGATGAAGACCCTAAAAAAAGAACACCATCACAGAGTGTGTGTAAATACTGATCAATTAACAGATTAAAGGGCTAGAAGGTATCATCATATTGCTGGAAATCATTAAGGGAAACAGCAAAGTACCAGTCGACGACGAAGTTCTCTGGCCAGTCTCTCAAGTAAAGGTCGTGGAGGAAGCTCTGTGGGAAGAGAGGATAAGGTTATATATAATTTCAGAAGTCCATGCTTCAGGCCAATGCATGACAAGCCAGCAAAACATATAGGCAACATATAAGGACTAAGGAGAGAAACAAGGTTAATAAACATCAACCCCGTAGAGGAGGATGGCCTCACCAGCAATACAGGGGTCCAAGTCTGCATCATCTGCAGATGCAGCAGCACAAGAAACCCTTGGAAAGCGAAATACACCAGCATTTTGGGAAAGCTCGCATTTACTAACGTCGGGTAAAGAGAAACGCCTCACAACCTTAATTGCTTCTCCAACAACATAAACTTTAAAGAGAACACCTCCTACAACAACAATGACAGTGCATTTCAGGATGTACTCAGACACAAGTGGTAACAGTAAAAGGATTGAACACTGGATGTGCTACACTTGCCTACCATGATTAATAAACTCCTGTAGAACAAGTGGGGGTTCGAGGTTCTGGAGAGAGTATTGATCATAAGCCAATGATAGCTCATGTGACTTTGCGACCAAAGGCTTTGCAACTGAAACATATAGAACAAACCAATCTCATTGGTGTATTATTGCTAAATACCAAGTTCAATTCTGAATTTCCTAAAATTATCAGCCTCTGCCTGCCACATTATATTTGCCAAACAAGGACAAAACAGTAAAGGGAAAAAACAGCCAGATCCCAGGTCCATAATCAACTTCCAGATACCTAAACCGGGCATTTACAATTGCAAAGCACTGTGCTGCAAGCTAGTAGTTAAGCCAAATCACATGCCCAGAATCATTGTGTAGAATCTGCATATAGAACACAAACATACCAAGAGGCAGTATCAGCCCAGCTTTAGTAACAGCATCAGGGATAGACGATGGATCTTTTTTGATTACCAATTGCCTTGGAACATAAACTTTGCCTGTGTAACAGTTAAACATTACCATTAATACTGTTACATAAAAATGTAAGCAAAACAGATTCTGTCCATATCAAAAATAACAGTGATGTGAAAACTACCTCACTTGCCACCATTGTCAATTATGAACCTAAAATCAACGACTAAATGCTTGCCATGTAAGCTAGAAAATATTCTCCACAATTCATAGGAAATAGTACAAAAAATTACCATAGGCATCAGACATGTTTAAGTCAGCAACATCCTGAAGCATGGACTGGCGATTGTGTACATGCTGTATGGCATCTGGAGGATCAAGAACTTTGACTTCTGGATGTGTTTGCCGGTAATCCTTGAAACAGAGGCAAAGAAAAGTAAGAAGAACCAATGCAATTGAGCATAACAGTCTACATAAAATGCAAAAATCCTGGACACAGACTGAAAGTACAAATGTATTGTGAAGCCATGTATAATCCACATTATACCATATGTCACCATAAATAGTATACTAAACTATGTTGTCCCATAATGATCAATGAGTCAAAAAAATTACTTTCTAATATGAATGTAGACACTAAATGATTTTAAAATGACCAACCTCGAGAACACACCGCCACTCCTTTCCTAATAACTGCAATTAATGAAGAAAAAAGGCTTCATTAGACACAAGGGAGATCCATATCTATCAAAAAAAAAATCATACAGTTTCAGAGCATAAATATCAGTATATGAATCCCTACTCATTAGAATTGGGTCAATGAACACCCACAAATCTCTACTTACCTTATGCAACACAATGTCGAAAGGACCTTGATCAGAGAGGGGCCTGCTTTGATCAATAGCAACAAATAGTATCCCATTACTCCTGTATTCCAAGAAACCAACAGATTAAATTACCTAGTTATTAGATTTGAAGAGAAATAGACCTCCAAAAATACGAAAAAATTTAAACCAGTGGTGAGATGTCCGAGAAAACATGACAGAGCAGCATTCTCTGTAACACTTTGCAAAAAAAAAGCCTACTATATAATGTCAAAGAACAAATGTAATTGCAGGGACACCTTTAGCATCTTAAATGCATCAATATCAACAAGTTTAGTAGCATGAATCCTATGACATGTTGACCATTGTGAATAAGAAATATGATATGTAGGTCAAAATGGGACAGTTAAAGTTGCAAAGGAACATCAAAAGGAGACCAAGGAAAACAGCAAGCTGTAAACAAGTATGGCCCCTCCATCAAAAACAAAAAAGAACAGAATGACTAAGCCCAATGCAAACATATAAGTTCTCATTCAAACCCCACTCAATGTTTTCAGCTAAATCCACCAGCAAGGAGACACAACATGATACCAGTGAGCAATAATCAAACTCAAACTGTTAGTGACAAAAAAAAAAACTCAAACTTTTTACTAAATAAAAATTCCAACATTAATTGTATCATTCTAAATAAATATTTTCAGTTAGATAATACATGCCACAAAATATCTTAGGATTTTTCAGATAGGAATGGTGGTTGTAACATTCAGAAAGTTTGTTGTCCACAGGACACAAAGCATACTACCAGTTGAATATTCATACCAATATATTATAAAAAACACAAAATCAGGAATTCCAACTGGCCACGCAAAGAATCTAAAGATCAATTTTTCGAGAAGATCCCCTCTAACACATTACCACATACGAATAGTACCTAAATCCGTTGAATATTCTGGAATCTGAAAGCAAATCAACAGCTAAAGATACCAGAATCTTTCAAACGAGGAATATTCCCGCGAAGGAAAAAAAACCGGAGATTCATCATCAATTCTTTCGAAAACCAAAAGGATATGAACATCTCTCGAGTAAAACTACAAAAACCCTTCCTTCCCTAGCAGTTTCAAGGAGGAAAAAACGATGAAAACACCTAATTTTTCATATTTAATCAGAGAAAATAAAATTCCGTTTAGTTTTTATCCGGAGGTGAAGTTTTTGAGGCACGTATGAATTACCTAGCTAAACCTTCAAGCTTGGGCTGCAGAAAGCTCTTAATCTTCTTCGACGTAAGAGCGTAACCAACAACCACAAGCTTCCTCGACAGAGGAAACTCTGCCACTAAGGAATATTTCTGTGCACCCACCATCTCTTCGTACTCTCCCTCCCCTTCGTCTTCATACGCAATTTCACCTCTTATCCTCATTCAATATATATCCAAAACCAAAACCTTAATTCACAATCGCGTTAAAACACAAATTTCCTTTTTCGTAGACAAAAAGCCAAATTTGAACAAAACCAGATGATCGAATGCTTTGAATTTCGAATCTCTATTGATTTAGTCCTCGTTTTTTTTTTTCGTTAATTCAACAAATTGTAGATCCTTCAAACGAGGAAATTGCAGATCAAGAAGCCGAAATTGAACAAAATCAGACGAGCTAATGCTTCGAATTTCGAATCTGCTTTGATAAATTCTTCGCTAAATATAGAGGAAGTCGGAGATATAGCGAAGCGTCGGTTACAAGCAGAAAGGAAGCCAAAATAACAGAGCCCATAGATATGTGTGTGTGTGTGTGTGTGTGTGTGTGTGTGTGAGAGAGAGAGAAGTTGGGGAAGCTTTGCTACACAGAAGTAGTGAAGTAGAATGCTAGAATGCAACGCGTGGATATCGATTTATGGTACGTACGGTCGTATTGCGGACGAAACTATTTAACGCGCTAAGTGACGTATAACAACACTGAGCTTGGGGGGTTGTGTTTGTAATTTTGATTGTTTTTCTTTTGTTGTTTAGGAGGAATTATCTTTTTAAGCCTATTTTTTTAAAAAAATCTCACTTTACCCCCCAAGATTTCAAGTTTTTGCATATTTCATGTACATAACGAAAACTTACTCCTATTTATTTAAGGAAGGTGGGTGCACAACTTTATAAATCTTTGCTATAGTAACGGTATGGTTTGGTTTGGAGATTTCCTTAAGGAAAATACTTTTAATGCTGCCTAATATCTCTTTTGTTTTCAAAATATTTTTATGAATACATTTTTTTTAATAAAGAAACACATTTTTTTTTGGATGTGAAAGACATCTACTGTTCAAAATGCAAAAATTCTATGCGAAAGGGAGGGTGTACATCGCCTTTATCAAGGGGTGAGGGTGAGCATGTGACAAAATTGACTCCTGTCGACTCTATCTCAGTCTCAATCTCAATCGAAAGTGGGAGGAAGGGTCCGCTCTTACTCAATTCAATTCAATATAGTCTTACGTCAATATTTACAGGTTCAATTTCATGAATCATGTTTCACCATTGTGCTCTTAGCCTACTAGATTTCTCTATTGTACAACAAATGTATTGTTTCTTAAAATGATGTCGTTTTAGTATGAAATGATATCGCTTTAAGAAACAACACCTATGATTTTTCATATTAGTTGTTGATTACATAATGCAATCCTTCTCTTTTTTCTAAAGTGAAGATTGAATGTGCACCATAGTACATAGGGAGAAAGATGGTGAAGCACTAGCCAAGTGGAAAAGGATTATGATACTAGGAGTTGGATTCTCCCTAGTATCTCTCAAATTTCCACTTTTTTTTTAAGAGACCCACTATTATCACTTTTATTTATTCTAGATGATACAAACACTAAAGAAAATGTATAGGAGATAATTGGATTGATGACACTATGGTGGTGTTTTGTGTCAAATTACATATGATATTATATGGATTAAAAAAATTAGGAGATATAGGAGCCCACATTGTCTCCATCTATTGAACCTTATCTTGCACAAATGGACCACATTTACCAGATGAGTTGGCTTGATCTTATCAACCTGAAACTTTTTTAATGTTTTGCCAATATTATTTCGACTCCGCGCATATTGTATTCAATATTGTCCGTCCTAAATTAAAATCAAAGAGGAGGGTTAAGTTAAGTAGACTACAACCAATATAAAACTTTATTAAATTCACAAGATGAGTCAAACTATATTTAATTTAAATGAGCATATAATACAATGATGAAAACAGACTCATATAATTGACCCAAATGCCCAGAAGACGAACGAAATTATACCTTCAAAAAAATGGTATAAGAAATCAACTCTTTGACCATTCTGGTTGATAGAATTCTATAAAATCAATAATAATCTACAAATCTACTCGTATTCCATTCCACTCTAATTCTAGAAATAATAATAATAATAACGGTACGAGAATGAAGAAATAAACAAATATTTAATAATTTAAGTACTTCAATAGTTAGTGTAGTCATTCGGTGCAAGAGAGAAGAGAGGGAGATGATGTTTTTTTTTCTATTTTATCAAAATAAAGATCTATTTTTTAAATTTATTTTTTGAATAGATATCACAATTATCAATCTACGAATAGAAACAAATTTCGACATATTAATTATTTTCCACCAACCACACCATCTGCTTGGTCTTTTGGCTTGTAGGGTTTTCCTCCATTATAGCAATGGACTCCACTGTGGTGAATCTTTCTCTCTCCTTTGTGCCAAAAGAAAAGAAACATGTACAGTTGGTGGTTGCCGAAGGTGGGGTGCCATAGAATACAGACATTTCTCCAGCTTTGAGGGTATAATGAAAAAAACATGCAATGATAGTGATGGGGCTATAATTTTATCTTAGTGGACATGGCTGCTCCACTCTATCTTGGCTGCTTTTATTAATATGTTTTTTAGTGAAAAGTTGTACAGAGAAAAAAAAAAAAATTTGTTGAATTCACATTCATTTCATGTGTAATATCAAGTGCAATACTATCGGCTCCTAATTTACATATTTAATTTATTATGGTCATTGGATTGACTATGAGCTTTATCAAACATTAAAATTAGTATTCATCTAATAATTCTAATAATAAAATTACATAATTAAAACATATTTTTAGATTTAAAAATAATTACTCAAAATATCAAATATTGAACTGTTAAATAATTTTACGATTGGGGGATTATAATTATCAAATCACATAATGGATCTATTTGAAACTAGCTAAGATAGATAATTTTTAAGGACTTTTAAATAAAATAAACCAAAGCTTATGTAGTAACTTTTTAAACCCACGAAGACTTATATAGACTAATTTCAATAAATTGATTTTATGAAAAATCAAATTACAAAAATAGAAGAGAGAGAAAGAAATTTAAACACCAGTTATAATTAGGGCAAACGATGACGATAATGGTAGGCGACAGTGAAGATGGTGGTAGGGTAGTTTTGGGGTGGTGGTGGTGACGACGATGATGGTGATGATAGTTGTTGTAAAAGAGGTGGTAGTGGGGTGATAGCGGTAGGGGTGATAGGGTGGCGGCAGCGGTGATGATGATAATAATGGGGCGATAAAAATGGTGGTAGTGGTGATGGTGGGACGGCAGATGTGATAGTAGTGGTGGCGTGGTGACAATGTTGGTGGTTGTTGAAGCTAAGATGGTGGTGTGGTGACAGGAGTAGTAATGGTGGTGATGGTGGCGGTAGTGGGGATGGTGGTAATGGTGGTGGGACAGTTCCAAATACTACTACTACTATTTTTTTTTTTAAAGTATTTATGAAAAGTTATAAATCTTAAAAGTACTTTTAAAAAGTTAACCCAACACATACCCTTATAAGCCTATTTTTTCTATTAAATTTGCGGTGTTAATATTAACCGTCAGATTAACTTTAAAGTAAATTTTAAAGAGATCTTAACTGCGAAAAATAAAAGTCATTTTGTTTATCTTTTAAAATTTGAATTGTATTGTATTTTATTATATAGATTTTTTTGTTCTATTTTTCATTTTGTTTATTTTTATAAGACTAATTCATGTAGTACTCTCTTTGAAGAACTTTACATGAGAATTTTACTAAAAACAGGTCGCTCTGTTATATGACTAAGGGTGCATTGTAAACAATAAGCATGATTCATCTAAGGTTTATAAGAGAGAATCACAGACATCTAGTCCTTCAAAAAATTCACACAATATGATAATCCCAGACCTCATTTGGTTCAACTATTATACAACTAGCAACCAAAAAATCAAGCCTACAATATTAAATAGTTATTTGTCTTTTACTTTCTTTTTAATTATATAATTTAAAATTAATTTTATTAAATAGTAATTAAATCCAACTATTTAAGGTAGTTGATGTGATAAAAATAGACAAAAAAAAAATATAAAGAAATAAAATTTAAAGTGCTAGGTATTTTATTAGATACATTTTCGAGGGATCAGTTTCACGCTATTAATTTCAGGTGACATTATACACAGAGAATATATTAATTGTGGTGTTTTTTTTTATAGTTTTTGCACAAAGGTTAATGGTGATGCCAGCTTGACAAGGAATTTATCAACCACTCTCCCTGCTTGAACCTTCGTTTTCGTGAGTCGATGTGAAAGGAGCAGTTATCGAATAAATCTAGTTGGTGGAAAACATCGAAAACAACGAATCAAACATGTCTACGCATTTTTTGGATATTTTTTTTTGGTCCATTGTTTTGGGGGCCATCAACACGAGTGGACTCTATTTAATATGCCTATACATGTTCTGGTTTGAATTGATATTTAGCAATTGATTGAAGGGTACCTCAAGTAGTTCTGTGATGAAACTCAAGACTTTTTGATTTTAAATTTTAACAATATTTTAAAGCTAAATTATAAAAAAATTAATTCTTTACGAATATCTTAATCCCAATGTAGATGATCTACTTTTAATCAAACAAAAAAAAATTTAATCGAGATATACGTAAATTAATCCGAATACTCTTAATCGTTGAACCCAAAAAAAAAAATTAATAATTAGCTGCTTAGACAACTTTATAAGTAACTTTCTTGTTTTTTTTTTCCCTTCACGACAAATAAAAAGAAGTACCTAGCTTTCTCAAAAACTTTTGTTTTTGTTCTGCACCACCACCTCCTCCTCCTCCTCGTCATATGGAAAAATAATTCCAATCTCCTATCTTTGTATTCATACTTAGCAATACAAACTTTGCATATATGGTATCATTTGCTAACCACTCATTTTCAATCAATCAAAAGCTTCGGCTTTCAAGTTGACTTTCTTTAATTTTGCTTAAAAAGACCACAAGGACTCAATTCATACATTCTATTTATATGGAAAAGGTTATGATGCCAAAAATAGTAAAAAAAAAAATTACTGTACTTCTCAATACCATATTAACAAATAATCATTAAGTGTAAATCTTAACGTGAGTTAATATATAATACAATAATAAAACTTTTCCCAAAATAAATTAAAATAAGAGACACTAAAAATAATACCAAAAAATTATTTCTCGATACTCAATGTAACCCCATTAGAAAAAAAGGAGGCTTAAACAGTGTGTTCCATTTTCCCTATTGATGTAGACTTTGGAGAGATGAGTGTGAAATGAAAATGGGTGGAAACGAACTTAGATAGTTACCGCATAGATGTTGATTCTTTGTATTTAGTGGCATCTAGCTTAGGCACTAAGCAGGGAAGAATAACATACATAAAGAGTCGGAATCTCAGCAAAAGAGCATCTGCATCACAGCACATATAAAATGATGTCATGTAGCTATTCACCTATGATTAAGCATCAAATAGTTGGTCTGCT